AGGAATGCTCAAGTCCCTTATATAAAATGGCATAGTATTTGCATATAACCTATGCACATCATCTGGTATACTTTCAATCATCTCTAGATGTAATATCTAATACAATGCAAATGTTATGTAAATAGCACTTCATGCTCTCTTTCAGCCTTTGAGGGATTGCTTTGACCACTTAATTGCTTTTCTTTTTTGAATATTTTCAATCAGCAATTGGTTGAACCCATGGTTGGCGGAACACATGGATGCAGAAGGCTGGCTGTATTCCTTGTCTTTGGTGAGGAGGTGATGATTGAAGTGGAAGAGACTGACAGTTTGCTTGAGAATAGCACCTTGATGTGCAGTGTCCACTTACTTTCTCATGCTGGGGCTTTCTTCCTAGTAGACAAAAAGGGAGGTAGTAGCAGAAATCAGAAATCTGACACTGTAAATGGGTGCCACTTCTAGTTCACTGGTATCTAAGGCATTACTCAGAAGATTGGACAATAGTGTATGGCCTTACTGTAGAGTCAGATTTAAACATATGGCACAAATTGAAGAGAAGCACATTTTGACTTCTGCCTGTATGGGTAAGGAATACTTTTATTCTCACAACTTGCATAGACTTGCAAGAGACTGTCTCTGGCTTCATTTACTAAACTTTATAACACAGATGGTGACAGTCCTATAATCTGAAACAATGTTTCAGGATACAATAAATCAAGGTTACAAAATCTCTGATTTGGGCTAAAATAGTTTTTGTTTATGTTCTGTTGTTGAACTAAAACCAATTTTTTTCTGAAATATTTGGGCACATAGAGTTTAAAAACCACTGTAATCTTAGTCCCGTAGTGTGACTTTCATCTGCCTTGGACTTGTACTGAATATAGACTAATAAATAATACAGCAGTACAGAGAATAGTAACAGTAACTCTTCCAGGTTCTCTTCTAAGTGTTCTACATGTTTACTTATTAGAGAAGGAAAGGATATGTCGAACCAGTTTTATTATTTGTTTGATGGAACTTTGCATTAACCTGATGCCATTCTGAATCCAATATGTAAGAATTATTCCCAAGCATTAGAGAGCTTCAAGACTCAGAGCTCAGCATTGTAGCCTTTAAGTGACTGACCCAACTAGGATTTGCCAGCTGATGAGGTAGATTACCAGTTGTAATGCTTTAAAAAAAAAAAAAAAAAAAAAAGGCAATTGTTTTATTATAGTTTTATTATAACCAAGGAGGATTAGGTAGAAAAATTTTCAAAAAGAAAATAATCTGTAGAGTTCAAACTGAGGAAAGATCCATATGAAGAGAACTGATAGAAATGTGCAAAAATTTCCCATCAAAGTTATAAGGAACAATTTTCAAATTTACATTGTTGTTGTTGTCAGGTGCCATTGAATTGTCTCCAGCTCATAGCAACCCTGTGCACAGCAGAACAAAACACTGGCCAGTCTTGTGCCAGCCTCATGATCCTTGCTATACCTGAGCCCATCGTTGCAGCCACTCTGTCTGTCCATCGCGTTGAGGGCCATCCCCTTCTTCATTCACCCTCCACTTTACCAAGCATGACATCCTTCTCCAGGGAATGGTTCCTTCTGACAACGTGACCAAAGTGGGTGAGATGAAGTCTGGACATTCTCTCTTCCAAGGAGCATTCCAGCTGCACTTCCTCCAAGACAGATTTGTTAGTCCTTTTAGCCAACCATAGTACTCTTAGCATTCTTCTCCAACACCACAACTCAAAAGCATCAACTCTTCTTCAGACTTCCTTGTTCATTGTCTGGCTCCCAAATGCATAAGAGGCAATTGAAAATGCCATGGCTTGGGTTAAGCACACCTTAGTCTTCAAGGAGACATTTTTGCTCTTCAGCACTTCACAGAGGTCTTTTGCAGCAGATTTGCCCAATGTGATACATTGTCTGATGTCTTGACTGCTGCTTCCATTGATATAGAACCAAGTCATGAAATCCTTGACAATTCGATCTTTTCTCCATGCACTGTGAAGCTGTTTATTGGACCAGTTGTGAGGATTTTTGTTTTCTTTATATTGAGGAATAATCTATACTGCAGACTGTAGTCTTTAATCATCAGTAAGTGCTTCAAGTCATCCTCACTTTCAGCAAGCAAAGTTGTGTCATCTGTGTATTGCAGGTTGTTAATGAGTCTTCCTCCAATCCTGATGCCACTTTCCTCTTCATATAATCCAGCTTAATTGTAAATCAAATACTAAGATTCATTAGTAATAAAGCTCGGGATTTTAGAGCTGAGAGTGACCTTAAGGAAATACCTTTTGTAACTCCTCTCATTTTATAGTTGAGGAGAACCAAAGTGTAGAGAAATGAATTGGTTGCCCAAAAGCTCACAGCAAAATTAGTGGTAGACTTTGAAGTAGAATCCATATACTCTAGCTCCTTGTGTTCTGCTCTGTTCACTTATAGTTCTGTGTTGAGGCTCTTTTAGCTTCTTTCTTTTTCTGATGGAAAGTGTTTGGTTACCCCTGGGCCTGAGGAACAGAATCTTTTAATCTGTCTCACTGTTGCCCTCGTCTAGAACTCCAAGGAGCCTGGGACCTGAGCTGTTAACCTCAGGAAAGCTGGGTAGGCCTCTGGATTCCTCCCTGCCTGCCATTATCCTTGCTAGCGCTTTGGTTGCTTAAACAAATCATTCCCCAAGAATCTGAGGGGGAGAAAGTGTCATTAAGCAAGTGATTTCTTATATTTAAGTACAACATGTATCTAAACAAGTGATTTTCTGTGTAATAAGCCAAGTAATACAAGAAAAGAAAATCATTACATGATTTCATTCAACAATTCTTTCTAAAGTGTGAGTGGCTCATAACCCTGTGGTCTTTCTGAAATTATTTGTGACTTGAAAGGAAGAGATTACCAAAACATTTCTCTGTTTGGTATAATTTTAGAAGTAAACATTTCGGGTAATAGAAAAAGATTTGTGTGTATACTGGCAAGTCATTCTCGCCTGGGATACGTTCAACTCTACTAGGCAATTCTTGGTTTTCATAATCTCTTTCATTTATCTACTTGTTAACCTAAGGAAGTCCTAAGCTTTTTCCTTCATGGTTGTCTTTGACCATGAGGTAAAATTTTCTACTGAAGCAAATATCGCCATTTGTAAGTACAGATCACATATGGATTATGAATTTGTAAGCACACGTTTCCCTCTCTTAACTGAATTCTGAGAACAAGAAGCAGAGAACAGCACGATTTTGTTGTTTCTGCCTGGTCTGGAATTTCAGGAAAGTTAAGGGAACTGTGATTATCACATCCAGATCCATTGTTAAAGGTTCATGCCGTTGTTTTGACATTCAGAGTCGGACTTTGTCTTTGTAAATCCCTCCTCACTTTACCAGTGCTGGTATCAGAGCTCAAACTGTTTCAAAACCGTAACATTTCTAAGTGAGTGATTGATCTGTATTATGTGTCCAGCCATCAGGGGGATCTTGGGATGTTGCTTGTATAAACTGTAACCCAATCCAATACTGTGTGTTTAGTTACAGTCTTTCATAGACCTATTGGCGATACTCAATCCTCCTGGATTTGGGAATAGGGTTTATCTGATACCTTCAGGGGGGAAAAAATCCATTCATTTTTCTCTCTTCCCCACTTAAATAACTCAACACATCTGGTAACACTGTAGGATCATTGTCCTTCCAGTTCCTCTGCAGCTCATATTGCTACAATATTTCTTAAGTATTTGGTTACCTAAAGGGCAATGTGATTTAAAAAAAAAGAGAGAGACTTTGTATAGGTCTTACAAATTAGCCCATCTGTGAAAGAGAAATAATATGCCTTTAATCAGCATAATTTCCATATCAGCAACCCTGTATGTACTGTGCAGTGTGAATGTAAATATAAATTTGGAGATAAATGCTCATGTGTTAAAATTTTAAAACAGAACTTTACAGATTAATGTAATTTGCCTCTAAGAAAATGTTTATTAAATCTACCTGAAATTGAATATCTCATTTCAAATATCCTATGGATATTTCCTATCCATATCTTATTGTTTGGGTCTCTATCCTTTGGGTTAATAATATCTTTAATTATAAGAATGTTAAAAGCTGAAACAAAATCCTTTAATTCAATCAGAACTAAGCTATATTCTAGGAAGCAAAGAGTAGAAATCCAATATAAGATTCCATATAGTAAAAAGTTAAATAGACAAAATATTAAGACTTTGTAAGCAGTGGTTGCCTTAAGGAATTCTTGTTTGAAATGACTGCATTGAACATTATAATAAATGTCACTATTTTATCCTCTTGAATTAATATAGTTTATGCACACAGTTTTAAATTGTGCAGTAGTTCCAAAGAGACTATTTACTGTTTCTGCTTGTTTTATGTTCTGGGACAAGTTCAAAGCTTTGGATTTGCTTTTTTTTTTTTTTTTTTTTTAAATAGCCTGAGCCTTGAAGATAATACAGGTTTGATAAATATGATTTCAATATTGAGGCTTTGTAAAAAATTTCAGTGTTTACGGTATGTTTGACCCAGGGCTCTGTACCAAATATATCCACAGTGCATTTTAAGTACAACAGAATGAACACATTTGAAAGATTAATCATTCTTTTGATTTTTCTTCTTCTCTTTCTGATTTAACATAAAAATTAGGATTGTAATGGTTCCCAGAATGGGATATTGAAAAACTACCCACCTGACAGAAATAACATGCAGAATATAAATTGAGTTAAGATTTCATTAGTTATCTGAAATTTAAGCTTATGTTCAAAATGGCTATTACAGGATTTTCATGTGTATTAGTCAAATGCTATGCTTATAACATTCTTTGATTGAATTATGACTGAAAAAATTGGATCATAGCTTTCCTATCCAGGTGGGCAATGCCATTTGCCAGGCTCTTTGCACATAACCTCCTCCCCCCCCCCCCCGTTTTTTTTCCTATCAAGCACAAATCCTGCTTTTGCTACTAAGCCTTCTGAGGCATTCTGAGGTAAAAATGAGGATGAATTTTAAAATTTTCCTTTGAATTTTTTTTCTTGTTTTTTAGGTTGTGGAACTTCTAGCAAGTGCCCTTATGGACTTGGTACAAGGAGTGTTCCATGAAAATTCTACTTCCACAAAGGTAAGGATTTCAGAGTCCCTGTGAAAGGGGTAAGCTGAAAACCCTTGTGGCAGAACTAGAATTGATGGAACAAAAATGTCATTCTTGTTTTGTGTTTAAATTGTACATGGCATTTTTTTTAAGATTAATGTTTTGGCTACGAATTCGTGGCCATACGCTTGTTACATAGCAGATTTAGCCAATTAAAACAACCTCTTATCCCCTGGCTGGATTCACAGTCTGTTCAATCTGCAGCAGCCCAGTGGATACCAGGAGCCTTCTGGTGAGCAGGTACCATCGTCACAAGGCAAACAGGCTGGCAGCTGGGCTCAGCCTTTCCCAAGAGGAAGGGACCTTTGATGTCCCAAAAGAAGTGGCTATTTTGGCGGGGGGGGGGTTGGGGGTCTTATATATCCAAGAATTTACTGTATTATTAAATTCTCTATAATAAGAGATAGGATGGTTGCACAGCTCAATTATTTTGATTAATTTTATAGGTTAATTAAGGTTAATTAATTATAGGTTAATTAAGAGGTTTTTGACTCATTTAGCAGGACATCTCAAAAGGGTTAGGTTTTATTTCCTTAAAATGCAGTTATTTCATTTCAGTAGGATATTGGATATGAAGCAATTGCTTCATTGACCACCACTGTCATTTACCATGGTATATTCTATTATAAGGGATCACTGTCTTAGTGTTTCATTATTCTACCTTCTGAAGCTTCTATATTAGCAAGAATTCATTCATTGCAAATTAGAAAAAAGTATGCCTCTATGCACATCTCAAGCTTTTGACATTTCTCTTTGAAAAAGGAAAGACAAATTTGACTGGAAGTGAAACATAGGGCATGAGCAAGTTAGATAAGAAACTTAAATTTTAGAAGTATAATCCTGGGACTCTGGTTCAGAGAGTGGTTAGTGAAATATGAAGAATTGCACCTTGGACATCTGCTAATGTTTGGTGTGGGGAACCACAGTTCCTGACAGCCATATCTAATCTCACCTAACAGCATCATGGAATGTGGGGACCCAGCAGCACATATGACCATAGTGGACCCCTTTGCCAGGTATTTTAAAGGCATGCCATGGTTCACTAAGATGGCTGAGGGTTAATATCAGACTGTGAAATGGGTGACTTCTGGTCTGGTTTCATTCACAGAAAGTCATCTTGTATTTAGTTTGGTGGTGATGATGACAGTGAAGTGAATAGCACTGTGGTAAGTGACTTGCCTGTATTTCTTCATTTAATCTTCACAGAAACCCTGAGAAGTAGGTGCTACTGCTGTCTCCATTTTATGGATGTGAAAACTGAGACTTGGGAAGAATTAAAGAATTCACCCAAGGTCACACAACTTGTCAGCTGGAATTTGAAGTCAGGTTCTTAACTTTCTCAGTCTGCTGTCTCTGTGTACTACCTCTGTACCTTAATGAAACCTGATGTAATAGCCTCTGTTTGCTGTACTTAAGATCCCCACCAATAAGGGGTGATTAAAACGACCTGTTTTGGCAGTTGAGGCATTGTTTTCACCTATAAGATATTCAACTTAGTTCCATATATTAAGATTTTACAGTTAGATATCTATTAATTTTTAAATAGAAGTGTTATTATTGTTAGTTTAAAAGTTTTTGATTTACCTGCTTTTACCATTTGGTCCACTATAATTAGCCCAGTTCATTAACAGTTTTTTGAACATTTGTTAAGTACTTTCTATGTGTAGTTGTTGTTGTTGTTATGTGCCATCGAGTTGGACCCGACTCACAGCGACACCTTCTTGGGTTTCCGAGGCTGTATCACTATGAAAGTAGATTGCCCGACCTTCCTTACTAGGAGTGGCTGGTGGGTTTCAACCTCCAGCCTCTGGTTAGCAGTCAAGTGCCTTAGGCACTGTGCTACCAGAGCTCCTTTCTATAGGTAAGGCAGATCTAATAGCAACAACAGTAATAAAATGCAGATAGCACTTTACCGTTTGCTTATATTTTCTCTGTACATAGTAACCTATGAAAAGGGTGACATTTGTTGGTTAACCTGTTTTATAGAGAAAGAGCCTAAAATTTGGTGATGACAGATGGCTGAAAAGCATAGTGCCTGAAAATTGTTTGTTAATGCATGCTTCACAGTGCCTGATGGTGAACCCCGGTGTTTTGACTTTAAGTCCGATGCTCTTTTCCTTTCTTTTCTTCTTTTTTTTTTTTTTTTAAATATACCCTGGTTTCTTCCTGGGAAAGAGAAAAGAGGAAGCAACAAAGTGTTTAAAGGACTACTGATCATTCATGAACCACCACATAGCAAGCTCCAATTGCTGACTTTCATTAGCTATAAATTTCAAAATAATCTGTACAACACATTGTTCCCCACCTCCTCCCCAAACACAATCTTTTTAAGAACTTGAGTTGACTTTTAAGCAGTTTAATTTCTGAATATAGTCAAACCTTTTAAAGAGTCTTTTTTTTTTCTTTTTTTTTTTTTTTTAGTGGAAGCAGAAATGCACAGTTGAGGCAATTAGAGTGCTTCTTGATGTTTCTTTGCACCCCAGGTCCAATTTAGGTTAACCACGTTTCCTTTCTTAAACCAGAAAATTTCTGGCTTTCTTCCCCGTGTGTGCTTGCCATTGCAGTGGCTTTTTAGAATTTGGATTTTCTGACTTGGCCCAGGAATCACTTCAGAGGCACAGCAAGCACTGCCCCCACATTGGAGTGCCATCAAGATGTTCATGTTCTGACACTGCTGAGAAGCAGCCACAAGGGGAGATCATGTGGGTAGTGAGGTGACTCCATGGATCTCTGTTGCACAACCTCTGTTGCCGTGGGCCAATTCTGTACACAAAAAGAATTGCTTTGTGATTTAAAATAAGCTGCAAACTGCTTCATCTCTAGGGATAAGAGGATACAATAGCCTTCTGTTTTCTATATGGCAACTTAATGTAGTGATGGAGAATCTATGTAGAACAAAATAGCTTTCTGTAGCATAGTATCTTTGTGACTACAGTAGACCCATTAAAACAAATGGAGGAAAATTGGCACTGGAAACATTAGAAATCACGTTCTCCAAATACCCAGTTCTCCTTATGAAGAAACTATAAACAAGTATATGATTTATGTTAGTAATACTTCAGAGGATAGAAAAATTATGATTGTATATGCACACAGAGTAATTTAGGAAATTCATCCTTCGATCTGTCCATTTAAAACTATAAGTTTTATTTTTTCATTTGCTAGTTTGTGAATCATTTCTTTGTTACAATAAATACTGGCCATTGTACTTCCTTTAGTGTTTGTAAAACAGTGTTTCCCCTTCCTATACTTTATTTTTTTCATAGCTAATTGGAAAAGAAGCATTTTAACTTTAAAAAAAAAATTTATTTTTAAATGGTTGTTTGCTATCTTCAGAGTTCCCTGGTCAAGATCTGCCTTATACCCATACTCAATAAATATTTTACATTTTAACAAAATTTACTTTGAATCCATAATCCTTTATATTTAAAAACTTTTTACATAATTAATCTTTTTTATTATCACTTATTTTCTGATTAGAAAAGTGAATACATGTTCATTAAATAAAAATTGAAAACAGAAAAAGGTCAAGAGGAAAACAAAAACTGTTTTTATATAACCTACCCCCAGAAATGAATCGGGGTTAATTTTAGTAAATTTTCTTCTAAATTTTATTTGTTATTTCTCCCATATTTGAGTTATTACTGTATATATAATTTTGTATCCTGATTTCCTCCCCAGTGTTATCATTTTAGTCATTAAAAATCTTCAAAAATATAATTTTTAAAGCAGTTTAATACTTCTTCACACTACTGTGCTGTCACTTACTGAACCATTCCACTGTTTTTGGACATTTAGCTTGTTCCAGTTTTTGACTAATTTAAACAATATTGTGATGAATTTCCTGGTGGGTATAACTTTACTTTGTTTTATACTATTTACTAAAACAAAAAATCATGAAAGTGAGATTTTTTTTAATCCAAAAGTAAGAATATTTTCAACATATCACTGTGCAGAAAAGAATTAGCATAGGAAAACTGAGATTGTTATCTTAAGAAAAGCCTGCTTTCAAGGTTGACCTTGGCCGGCAGCTGAGACTTGGATTTGGGGTCTGTTCCCACCATTCCCTAACTGGTAAGTGTGGCTTACTGTTTGTAAAACTGTTTGTGCAAACAATAATGGTTTATGCTGAACATCTACTTTCTTTCTGGGAGTCTGGAATTTTGGTACCTACTAGGCTGAGAGTACCTATATGACCTAGCTACTGCCATCAAGTCAATTCAGACTTACAGTCACCCTATAGGACAAAGCAAAACTGCCCCATAGGTTTCTAACTGCCAGCCTTTTAGTTAGCAGCTGAGTGTTTTAACCACTGTGCTACCAGGGCTTCCTTCTATGTGACCAAACCAGACAAACCTGCTGTCATCAAGTCGGTTCCAACTCACAGTGACTCCCATAGGGGGTCTGTAGTCTTTACAGAGCAGACTGCCTCATCTTTCTCCCGTGGATCAGCTGGTGGGTTTGAGCCACCAACCTTTTGGTTAGCAGCCAAATGCTTTATCACAGTGTCACCAGAGCTCCTTTCCTATGTGACCAGTCCCCAGTAAAAACCCTGAATGTCTATTGATCTTCCCTGATAGACAACATTTCATATGTGTTGTCACAATTTGTTTTGTCACAATTTAGGAGCTCTGGTGGCATAGTGCCTAAGGCATTTGACTGCTAACCAGAAGGCTGGCAGTTCAAACCCATCAGCCACTCCTTGGAAGGAAGATTGGGCAATCTACTTCTGTAGTGATACCGCCTTGGAAACCCAAGGAGGGGTTGCTATGAGTTGGATACGACTCAACAGCAGTGAGTTTTAGCTGTCACAATTTAGTGCTGGAGGAATTAAGGATGTCCTTTGTGACAGCCACTCCATGGAAGAAAGATGATACAGTCTGTTTCTATAGAGATTTACAGCCTTGGAAACCCAACGGGGGTCACTATGAGTTGAAATCGACTCAATTGCAGTGAGTTTGGTTTGGTGA